CTGGGGGGAGGTGAGCTGGAGAGAGGGAGTGGAAGTCCTTTTCTTTTTGGAGAAATGATTTTGGGGGGGTTGCAGTGATTTAAGACATACAGTCTCAATTTCTCTTAAAGGGGGTGTCAAGCAGTGAATACTGAAACACTTTGGAAAATGCATAATGGATTTTGATTCTTGATATGTAACAAGGGACCGGTAGCTTATGTCCAGGTATGACAGCGTGAATGAGGATTCAAACTCAGACACCATTATTGCAATGTTGCATGCCTTCAGGCCACACAGCCACATACCAGTTGCTTTGTTTTGTGTCAGTTTGCTGAAAATTATTTCTTAAATTCCACTCTCTGGTTTCTTAGTGTCTCAGTATAGTTGGGCCCATGCCCCATTGGGATTCTGGGTCAGTATAGTTGGGCCCAGGCCCCATTGGGATTCTGGGTCGGTATCGTTGGGCAAAGGCCCCCGTTGGGATTCTGGGTCAGTATCGTTGGGCCCAGACTCCATGGCGATTCCTGGTCAGTATCGTTTGGCCAAGGCCCCCATTGGGATTCTGGGTCAGTATAGTTGGGCCCAAGTCCCTGTTGGGATTCTGGGTCAGTAGTTGGCCCAAGTCTCCGTTGGGATTCTGGTTCAGTAGTTGGCCCAAGTCCCCGTTGGGATTCTGGTTCAGTATAGTTGGGCCCAAGTCCCCGTTGGGATTCTGGGTCATTATAGTTGGGCCCAGGCCCGCTTTGGATCCGAGGTAGAATAGGTCTTCAGCAACCTATGCTAGCCGTAAAAGGCGACTTTACTTGTCGTAAGAGACAACCAACAGGATCGGGTAGTCAAGCTTGCTGACTTGGTTGAAGCATGTCATTGTATCCCAATTGATCGATGCTCATGATGTCAATAACTGGATTGTCTGGTCCAGACTACCTTATTTACAGACCACTGTCATAGAGCTGGAATGTCACAGAGTGTGGTGTTATACAACAAACAAACAAACAAACAAACAATCAATCAATCAAACAAATCAAATGTCATGGTCAGCCCTGGTGTATTGCACAAGGACATGTCAGAACAAGGCTGTTGTACGTTTAGCAGGCCACCAGTTTGATAACCACCAGAAGCCAGTCTTGGCCACTATGTCCATCAACAGCACTCAGAAGGGATTACACGAGCAAATAAAGGACAAATACATTGGGAAGGGTTGACTTCACTTCCTGGCAGCCAGTACCAGCTCACAACCGATACGTAGGCGGAGTTTAACGCGGACTGCAAATGTCTTCCTCCTTTGACCTCTGTCAACCTCTTGTGTCCAAATTTTGCGAATCATTTTTCTGGAACTTTTGTTTGTTGTGGCCATTTGTTGTTTGGGCTGCAGTATTTTCTGAGTTGGCCGTTTCATTCACGGAAGAGGCCCATGTTTGAGTTGGAAGGAGCTGTTGTTATGTTTACGCCCACCATTAGTGTATTGTGGTAACACAAGGACTTGGATAACACTGCTGTCTGTTGTGTCATTTCATACATACATACATACATACATACATACATACATACATACATACATACATACATACATACATACATACATACATACATACATACATACATACATACATACATACATATAATATATATATATATATATATATAATATAATGTATACCATATTCGACGTAATAAGCACCCAGGGCGCTCTCAAAATTAGAAATAGGGGGCTCTTATTAGAATATTATTTTGGTGGAAAAAACAGAGTTGAAAGATAAATTTTGTGGTTTATGCTGACAGCCTGAAATGTTTATATACGAGAGATATATTTTTCCAGAATTTAACTGCCCATAATTAAGGGTGCATATAACACACGAGTGCGTATCATGCGCGAATAAATAAGAATTGTGTACATTGAACAATCGGAAAGGGTGCTAATTGGGATTGTTCACGAGCCAATATATTAGCAAATATCGCCGTGGGCGCTTATTAGAGCGGGGCGCTTATTACGTCGAATACAGTATCTGTACTTGAATATTAATTACTGAGTTGGTGTGTGGTATGGATTTTTACCCATTTGATGACATTGAGGACATTTTTTATTGAAATAATTTTAAAATTTCTCATTTCAAAAGGAATTTGTTACATCGGGTTTTAAACATTAAGGTATTATAGAAGTAAATTGAATATGTGAAAAATAATAGTTTTTTCACAATTTGTAGATGATGACAATGACTTTTTGATTTTTTGGAGGATTTTTTAGATGATGCTATCTTTTTGCTTTAAATGAGGTTTTTGCTGGAACCATCAAGAGAGAACAGACATTGTCAAAATTTAATGTTACTGAGAATTTTGTGATAGAGGTACCGAGGCACAATTGTTCCCAGTTTCTGTTTGAAACAGATTTGTGGGAGTGTCAAATGAGTGGCTGAAAGGTGACTGTTTGATCTTTGAACCAAGTAGTTAAACAGTGTGGCCTATAGTAAAAGAAAACTATGTAACGTTTTTTCTTTGTTATACCAGTAGTTAATCAAGAATTATTAAAACAGTATAAAAACAATATATCCACCCGTATCCAAGAAATGTACACACATACTTAAGATTGAAGAGGTACCACAAATCATGACAGTATTGTTCAAAGACGACTGAGCCTCCAACAGTCATCGCACTGTGATTGGTTGTCAGGCAAGCAGTTTTAAGTCTCCTCCCGCGCGGGTCACTTAAAGGTTTGGTTACGTCTAGTCTACACTTGATATGAACCACTGTGGAATATTTGTTTTACAATTGTTCAACACTTGGTTCTCTTGGGGAGATTTAATTAGACTAGCGTGGCCCTGATAATGCCGCCACGTTTAAAATACAAGGACTTAGAAAACGATAAGGTATGTTTAGTTTAAGATTTAGAATGGAAAGTCAACAGATGTTAAGAGTGGTAGAATTTCAAGTTGTGAATACAAATTGTGTTTTTTGCGTGGGATCAACAGTGAATTGCTACGCTGAATATAAACCGAGTTTGAAATGTTGAAATGTTTCTTTGGCAGCTGGAAGATTTTATTTGCAACCATTAGTTTGAAGACGGAAATGATCTTTGTGAAAGATGTTAGATTTAAAACAATTTAATTTTCTTGTTTTTGAATGAAATTGGTTAGATGCCCTAGGGGTTTTGAAACAAATTTTTGGCCATCAGGCCTCAAAGTTGCGACTAAACCGGTAGCCAATGCTACCTAAATTTGAGTTTGTCTACTGTCTAATATTCAGAGGTAGCCAAATGACTACCTTAAAAAATATCTTGTGGCGACTAAATTCTATTGCTACACATTTGTAGACACAAAAATAAATAACAGCTGATCCTGGTAAACACATCTGCTAATAATTGTACTCGAAAATAATTCCTCTGAAAGTCGACAATGAACCGAAATACATAAATATAAATGTAATTAGTATTTTATTTCAGTTGACAATGCTCATTCGATAAGCAAGGATATACCTATATAATCTGGTGACATAAATTGCATCATTGTTCGAGTCACAAGTAACAAAAATCAAGTACAGTTTCCACTAATATACAATTCCAAGACTAGTGCTATAACTTGTACATATTAAAATAGTTATCTGATAAAAGATAATTTCAAATGCTTTTGGTTACCTACAATATTCACTTGGCTTCTTTATTTTAACACTGGCTACCTGGAAAAAATTTGGCTACTTGGTAAAAATTTAAAGCCTGGCAATTCCAACAATTGATGTGGTGTTGACAGGATTAACTTGAAAAGTGCATATTGTTTGTTGAGACTAAGTAATGGAAATCCATTTTTCATATAATAAAGCAGGGGTATATCTACAATTTCAAATAGAGTACCCTTGGCAGGCGTATTGGGAAACATTATAAATATGCTCCTTGTTGTAAGAGACAATTTAATTTGAGAACAGACGAGCGTAGACATTATTAATCACCTCGGCTGTCGCTTCACCCCGAAGCAGTTGTGGTGTATCAAAGGTATCATTTTGGTTGGCAGCAAAGTGTTGTTTTTAATAGGCTGCCTACATGTTTTCATTAAAAGTTGGTGTTTGTTTGTTTGATGTTTCCGCTCTCAGCACTATTCCAGCTATAATGACAGCAGCTTGTAAACAATCGAGTCTGGACCAGACAATCCAGTGATTGATATGATCATCAATGTATGCAGTTGGGATACGATGACATGCATCAACCAAGTCAGTCAGCCTGACCACCCATTCCTGCAGTCGAATCTTAGGACAAGCATAAGCATGGGTTGCTGAAGACCTATTCTAACCCGGATTTTCATGGGTCTCATAAGTTAGTGAATGATGCTGACGTTTTCCCTGGGTGTGACTGCACCTAGATCACACAAATTGTTGCTCATGGCATCGACCACTGGTTTATCTGATCTATACTCTGCATATTTAACATGACTGCCTACAGCACACCAGAAATAAACTACTCAAAAAAAGTTAAAGACCACCCATGACGATTAACCATAGTAATATGAAAGAATCGGGTGTTCCTTTACTTCTTTTAAGTAGTATACAATGTTTTCATGATCTTGTCATTTATATATCATTACGACTTAGCAACCCATGCTTGCCCGGCTTGTCGTAAGAGGTGACTATGCTTGTCGTAAGAGGCGACTTATGCTTGTCGTAAGAGGCGACTATGCTTGTCGTAAGAGGAGACTGACGGGAACGGGTTATCAGGCTCGCTAACATGGATCGATGGTCATGAGGTCAATCACTGGATTGTCAGGTCCATATTCAATCATTTACAGACTGCCGTCATATAGCTGGAATATTGTTGAGTGTGACGTTAAACCACAAACAATCATACAAAGAAATAAATGTCATTACTATATTTGAAAATAAGTATTTTGGGCATTTTTGATCAGTCAGATTCCTGGAAAATGAAGTGATCTGAAAACCCTGACGTAGGCAACGGTGTTGCTCTTGTTATCAGAGTCTTTGACATGAGCTTGCCAAGACACTTTTAGGTTAATGTGTAATATTATATTTTTACATATTTTCAGCGAGTGTCCCAGTGTTCTGTCATCCCATATTGCGAGAGCCACGTACCTTCGCATAACGAAACTCGATGTACGACCCTTCTACATAGAAATAGATGATGACGATGACGACGATGATGATGACGACGAAGATGATGAAGACGAGGAGGAAGTCAACATCACTGAAAATAATGGCAGCGGAACATCGCAAAACTCCGAGACGCTTATACCTCGTAAGTTGTCTTCTGATCAGTTTTATTTCTTGAGATTATAAGTGTATCTTTGTATTATGAGACCGCCTCAGTGGTCGAATAGATACAGCATCTGCCAGGAGAGGTGAAGGTCAGTGGTTCAAGACCTTGCAGCATCATACAAAGACGGTGGTACTTATTGTTACCCTGCTGTCTTGAATGCGAAGTTAGACCCCATTTCACCCCACCCTACTTTCACATTATGACCAGCATATATTAGAAATACAACTTGTATTTTACCAACAATATGGATGCCCTTGTATTAGTTGACGTGAAGACAAAACCTAATACCGTATTCGACGTAATAAGCGCCCCGCTCTAATAAACGCCCATGGCGATATATGCTAATATATTGGCTAGTGAACAATCCCAATTAGCACCCCTTCCGATTTATCAATGTACACAAGACTTATTTATTCGTGTATAATACGCACTCGTGTGTTATATGCGCCCTTAACTCTTTCAACACCGTAGGCCGGTTATCCGGCCAAGAAGCATTGAGTCCCCAGACACCGCAGGCCGGTTATCCGGCCAAGCCGTAGTCACGTCAAAATAGTATATATTTTTATGGACCTACCTGTAATATCATTCATTTATTAAATCTACCACATTTCACAATGTCTGAAATACATATTCCATTTCAATTTAACATTTTTTATCGTTAAATTAAAAAATTATTCACTATTTCCCGCGATGTTATTGAAAATCAAATTCTCGGACACACATTTCGACATCGGGTCCACATCGAACACGTCAAAGAGGAAAATAAAGACGTTTTAAACAAATCTTTAAATATATTATACAAAGTAAGGAATAAAATCAACAAAACTATATCTAAAAGTAATCAAACTTACATCTAAGTTATTATTTCCATCTTTTCGTGCGATCGCGTGTAATGTAAGTCAAATGACATCTCGGCTTTCGTCGCCTTGAATTCTCGGCTCGGACACGATGTTTAATACAAAAATATATGCATGAAAAATCTTTGTCACAGCTCGTAATCTAGCACGATACATTCACGAAGTTCCATATTTTTAATATATATCGTGATTTCCTGCTCAAAACGTTCAGAATGACACGATTTAACAAAATTCTTTCGCCAACTTCTGTAATTTATCGAACACGAGCTTGGTATCACAGCTGTAATTTGATTGGCTGCCTTAGGTCACGTGCTCAAAATTGACCAATCACGAAACTTGTAGCAGATTTCAGCAAGAAAGCGTCATTAGAAACCAATTTTAATCCAATGAAATCGCTTGTTATAACAACGAAAAAAACTCAGTCGATGTTACGAGCGTGTAGATGAAGGAATAAGCTTTCCAGCGATGTGTCATTGCCATTCTTCGACGAACGTGTTATTCATACGAAACCTCGAAAATGGGGGTATTTCTTCATTTTACTGAGCGGACAGTCGCTGTTATCGGGAAATGGGTGATGACAGAAACTATTTATAATTCTTTTTAAAATGATTTTCCAATTACGTAAACAATGAAAATAAAACAGAAATAGGTACGTGGATATTATGAAATCATATATTTGCCGAAAATCGTCAAGTTTTCGCTTCCTTGGTCCTTAATCTGGATGTTAACAACGTGTTAGTGTACATTTTTTATTTAAAAAAAAAGAATTTAATTAAGTTGTAAATGCATTATTTTACATAATGTGAAAAATATAACTTTCATATTTATAAACCATAGGATCAGACCTTTCAAATGGTGTATAACATGTAGTAGCAAATATATTTTACAAGCAGGTATTTTCTTTGATAAATGTTGGCTTCATCTATCACACAAGAGTCTCTGGGAACTCGGTGTCCCAGCAGTAAACACTTCTGGTTGACTGGTGTTGAAAGAGTTAATTATGGGCAATTAAATTCTGGAAAAATGTATCTGTCGTATATAAACAGTTCAGACTGTCAGCATAAACCATGAAATTTATCTTTCAACTCTGTTTTTTCCACCAAAGTAATATTCTAATAAGAGCCCCCCTATTTCTAATTTTGAGAGCGCCCTGGGCACATATTACGTCGAATACGGTATGTCAAAATACTAAGTGCTGTCCACCGTGGAGATCCGGGGTAGAAGTGGTCTTCACCAACCCATGCAAGAGGCGACTAAAGGGATCGGTGTGTCAGTCTCGCTGACTTTGTTGACCGTCTGGCGTTACGTTATTGAGGGGATAAAACAAGGACTGGTCAGCTCGGAGTCACCATGATGGTCTGAGTGGGGTATTCCTGTTAAACTGCGGCATGGTATCTCAATGGGCTAGCACTCTAAAATCGGCATCAGTCCAGACTAGTACACAAGCAGACACACACTCGTACATGTGTGTCACTATTATCAATGCAATAATCTTAAACATGTTAAACCCCATTTGACCTCACCTCACCTCACCTCACCTCACCTCACTTCACCTCACCTCACCTCACCTCACCTCAGACCTCAGAAGATCCGGGATAGAACTGGTCTTCAGCAACCCATTCTTGCCTTAAAAGGGGACTATGCTTGTCGTTAGAGGAAACTGATGCGATCGGGTGGTCAGGCTCGCTAACTTGGTTGATGTATGTCATCGTATCCCAATTGCGTGGATCGATGCTCATGATGTCAATCACTGGTTTGTCTGATGCAGACTCGATTATTTACAGAACGCTATCATATAGCTGGAACATTGCTGAGTGCGGCTTTTAACAAACAAACAAACAAACAAACTCAGCTCAGCTCAGCTCAACTCAACTCAACTCAACTCAACTCAACTCTACTCTGTCATCGTTTGCACATCTACATCTAATGTATGTAGGTATTCCTATTGTCTATATGCTTGCGTGAAGTTCACCCAACATTGTTTATCATTTCAGATATAGATTCTCGTCGTCTGTTGAAGGAAGTGATCAGGATTGTCCATGATATTTGTAGAGTGTGGCAGCAGTCTTTCCCTGCACTACTTTTACCTCAGCGCTCACATCAAGTGTGTTCCTACGCCATCAAAAATACTCGCCGCAAAATGGAAGACAAACACGTGATCATGCCAGATCTCAATGCACTCTTTAACCTCAAGGTCAGAGTTGTTCAATTCAAATTATACACAATTTCTTCAAATACCCTACCTCTATTACATCACAGCCATAAATTCTGTTTTGGCTGTTCTCACACTAAAAATCTTTAGAGTTTTCAACAGATGTCCTCGTCAGTGTCAGCTATCTAATGAGCAGTTGTACGGGAAACAGTACCAGAATGTTGCATTATGCATTATACAAATTCATACGTTTCTATTCATGTTGACATCGCTCAAAAGTGCTTGGAGGGCCCAGCCATCTAAGGTGCCACAATCTGATGTGCAGCGTTGAATCTACGATCTTGGGTTCGAATCCCAGATTCACCCAATTAAGTTTCTAGGTTTGTCAGCACCATACCCATGCTCATGGGTTTTTTACCAAAGTAGTAACCCTCTGATACCTGCATCACTTTGAGCTTTCCTCCCACATTAAGCTGACATGCTGGGATATTCTGTGAACGTCTAAATTCCCCAGGGAGCTGAGAATAGAAATCCAATATAAATATTATTATTATTATTATTTTTATTTTTATTTTTATTTTTATTATTTTTATTATTTTTATTATTTTTATTATTATTAAGACTGCGTCCATGTTTCTTCCCATGTGATGTTGCTGAAATATAGTCCAAAACAGAGTTGAACCTAGATCACTCACTCCCTCACTCACTCACCGTATGATACACAAATCTACTAAAATATATGGATGTAAATATGACCCCCGTGACATTCCAGGACAGAAGAGAACATCTTCCTCTCCGTCGACCCTTCAGTGGCATACATATGATTATGTGGGGATATGTGAATCTGTTGCTGTAATGTAAAGTATGCGCTGTCTACTTGAGTGACATCGTGCCGTCCTGCTGTCGTGTACTTGAGCTGGCGACTTCCTTGAAGGATGTGGGTCTGTTGGTATCAGCGTGGCATGTACGACCAGGGTTACACAGGACGCTAAATATTGCATTCTGTACTCGTACAAGTTGAGAAAGGATGCGATTAATTATATATGGCTGTTTTGAACAATAAACTGATTGACTTTGTGGGTTGCATATATAACATAGTGTTTAAAATAATCACAAAATATTTGTGCCAATTGGGCCACCTACCCTAAAATTTACAAGCCAGTTTCAAATTTCACGAGCTTTAATTTCCAACAGTCTATTTTTCAATTTTTTATTCTGTTAAGGTATCAATAAAAGAAATTGCAAATCATGAGTCAAATATTTTAATATCGTCAATTCGTTATGGACATTAATTTGTTTTCTGATGGTTGTATTGATCTAAAGACACAGGAAAATATTTAATTATTTTTATCAACTTGGAGGTGTGCATAACAATATTACAGTTTAAATATCAGTAGCCAGTCAGGCTAGGGTCATTTTACTTTAGAATATTTAGCCCGACCAATTTTGCTAGCCATGGGCTGGCAGGCAGGTGATTATTTATCTTTCTGATAACATAAAACTAACAAGTCTAGCCTTGTAAGAAAAACACTGTGTTCACAGGGTGTCAGTGGTTGATTTTCTCAATTTAATCTAAAATTGAAATCTCCATCTATAGTAGATCACAGACATACATAGATGTACGTCTTTGAATAGATTTAAGACTTCCGAGCATGTGCAGTAACAGAACACTGGAAATTCTTGGAAATCACTTGTCACAAGCTCAGAATGTGAAAGACTCCGAAATAGACAGACCCAGTAAATCCCAGTGTGTCTGTTCACTCATAGCAGACATGGCGGACAGATGATTTCCCTTCCTGCTGAATCCATCAGGGGGAATAACTCTGCATGGCTTGCACACTGCTCATCTTTCATAGGTTTTGAAGAAATTAAAAAATTCATGTCAGTGTTTTTTAGAAATGTCAAAGAGGGAGATTAAGTCAGGGACTGAAATAGACAGGTTGAATTCTGATATGCTGATAAGTGTATTTTAGTACAGGCAGAGATTCAGTTGAGGATATGTTGACGTCTTGACAAGGTTTATTTCCTGAATATCACAGCTGTGGTTGTTTTTTAACGTGTCAAATCTAATTCTGGACAGTCTGCACGAGGAAGATGATTGATACGAACGACAAAACAAGACATGAGAAAAGAAATAAATGTGGTTGATATCTATCATCCCAAACTAACTTCCATACGAGGGAGGTGGAATAGGCCTTCAGCAACCAGTGCTTGCCATGAAGATGCGGGGTGGAATAGGTCTTCAGCAACCCATGCTTGCCGTGAAGTTGCGGGGTGGAATAGGCCTTCAACAACCCATGCTTGCCGTGAAGATGCGGGGTAGAATAGGTCTTCAGCAACCCAAGCTTGCCGTAAAAGGTGACTTTGCTTGTCGTAAGAGCCGACTAACGGGATCTGGTGGTCAGATTCGCTAACTTGGTTGATGCATGTCATTGTATCCCTATTGCGTGGATTGATGCTCGTGATATCACTTACTGGTCCAGAATCTATTATTCAGAGACCGCCGCTATATAGCTGGAATATTGCAATGACAAGGGCCCTTGATTGTCATGTTTAATTTCGAACACTGTCAAAATAAACCTAATATTTTCAGTTTAGTTTTTCTTGATATCTGAGGATGCCTTGATAATCCTTGTTTTAGCTGATACATGTATCAGGGTTTACCAAAACATCCATGGCAGTGATTTTTATTGTTTTCTAAATTAGGGTCAGGAATCATAACTAATTGCTCCCCGGATATTTATTATGAGGGTGGATTGTCTGGTCCAGATTAGATAATTTACAGACCGCTGTCACATACTGGAATATTGCAGAGTGCGGCGTGAAACAAACAACAAACACACATCTTTGAAAGGCATTTAGAAGTGATACACATAAGGAAAAGAATTCGTTTCGGAGTATATACTTACTCCTTCATCACCCGATGAAGGTCTCAGTAAGTATATACTCCGAAACGTTTTGTTCCTCATGATAAATAAATTGACATCCTTAAGTTCTTTCCCTAACAAACACACAATTATTGAAGAAACTTGACAGGAGTAATTGACGACTAACGGGATCGGGTGGTCAGGCTCCCTGACTTAGTTGATGCATGTCATTGTATCCCAATTGCCGAGATCAATGTTCATGATGTCAATCACTGGATTGTCTTGTCTACATTTGTTTATTTACAGAACGCCGGCATAGAGCTGGAATAATGCTGATTGCGGCGTGACGCAAACAGCAGGCACACATTGTTGAAAAAATCTAGATATTTAGGTAATATTATTGATGACTACTGCATTGTTAAGGTGAACTGTGTACAGATGCCATGACAGCCGAGGTAACCATGGGATGTGATTCAGGAAATAAGAATGTCATCCTTGCTTAAGATCTTCGGATGCTGCTTGTTAAAGAAGTTGATTCAAATGAATCCAACCAAAAAGTCTGTGAATCAAACGTTAAATTGACAACACACACACTTAGACAGGTATTTCAAGCCACAAATTCCTCTCGCAGTCACCCCCACTCCAGTGTCAGCCAAACAAAATACACTCATAGATTTTTGTTTGACGGAAATCTACAAGAACGTAATCTTCATCAAACAAGGGTTTTCTTTGATGTCAGAAGTATTGTCTGTTGTGAGCAATTTGCCTGTAGGCAGATTTGCCTTCATAGATGTCTTACACTACACAATTGTTTTGCTCAGGATTAAATGTCTTTGGTTTCTTTTTGTAGGTTTTAAAAAAACCTTGGAAGTTCTCCTTCTAGATTAGGGTTTTTCGTACTGATTGAATGTTTAGCATATCTGTCATATTTGTTGAAAAATGCTTATTTGATAACAGGATGTTATGTTTGTTTGTTTGTTTGTTGTTTAACGCCAAACACAGCAATATTCCAGCTATATGATGGTGTTCTGGAAATAATCAAGTCTGGACCAGACAATCAAGTGATTGACATCATGAGCATTGATCTAAGCTATTGGGATACGATGACATGCATCAACCAAGTCAGCGAGGCTGACCACCAGATCCCGTTAGTCGCCTCTTACCACAAGCATAGTAGCCTTTTACAGCAAGCATGGGTTGCTGAAGACCTATTCTAACCAGAATCTTCACAGGACCGGGATGTTATAATGATTATTGATACCAGGCATTTAATAATGTTATATATTAATGCACTGGTATCATAACAGAATTTTACGAAACGAGAAAAAATATATGAAAGTCTGGATGAAAATTTCAAAGTATTCTGCTCCAGCCAATATGAAAATGGTGTAGGCTAATTTTGTGAGTGAACATTAGCACTGGTTGCTATGTGTTATTGTGCCTGAAGACTTGGATGCTGCTGTCAGTGTACTATCAAGATACATGTAGTGATGTAGAGACACTCCACCTGTACAAGATGGGGGATGTGTATTTGCAGCATCTGTCTGTTGATTCAGCCTGTGTTTATTTCCCCCCAGTCATAAACAACTCACACCCTGCTGGTAATAAGCACGATCCCTGTGTTCTGTGACTATTGTGCAGTTATATTCCATGTTCTGTGACTATTGTACAGATATATCCCATGTTCCTAGACTATTGTGAAGATATATCCCATGTTCCTAGACTATTGTGCAGATATATCCCATGTTCCGTGACAGTTGTGCAGATATGTCCCATGTTGTGTGACAGTTGTGCAGATATATCCCATGTTCCGTGACAGTTGCGCAGGTATATCCCATGTTCTGTGACTATTGTGCAGGTACATCCCATTTTCCTAGAGTATTGTGCAAGTATATCCATGTTCCTAGACTATTGTGCAGATATATCTAATGTTCCGTGACAGTTGCGCAGGTATATCTCATGTTCTGTGACAGTTGTGCATAAATATCCCATGTTCTGTGACTATTGTGCAGGTACATCCCATTTTCCTAGAGTATTGTGCAAGTATATCCATGTTCCTAGACTATTGTGCAGATATATCCCATGTTCCGTGACAGTTGTGCAGATATATCCCATGTTCCATGACAGTTGCGCAGATATATCCCATGTTCTGTGACTTTAGAGCAGATTGAGATAATCTGACAGTTACAATTTGTGACATGCATTATGTGCTTTCATAGCCTGACATTCGGGTGGATGCTCATGTTATCAACCACTGGTTTACCAGGTTGGGATTTGAATATTTCAAGACCATCATTCTACACCTGGAATATTGCTGGCTGCTGAATATTCACTCACTCTGACTTACTGAGGGAGTGCTGCAACCACGGGCATAACCAGAGCACTCCATTCACTAACTCCGGGTTTATAGACAGCACCATAAGCTATAGGCTGCACTCTGACTTACTGAGGGAGTGCTGCAACCACGGGCATAACCAGAGCACTCCATTCACTAACTCCGGGTTTATAGACAGCACCATAAGCTATAGGCTGCACTCTGACTTACTGAGAGAGTGCTGCAACCATGGGAATAACCAGAGGACTCCATTCACTAACTCCAGGTTTATAGACAGCACCATAAGCTATAGGTTGCACTCTGACTTACTGAGAGAGTGCTGCAACCATGGGAATAACCAGAGGACTCCATTCACTAACTCCGGGTTTATAGACAGCACCATAAGCTATAGGCTGCACTCTTACTTACTGAGAGAGTGCTGCAACCATGGGAATAACCAGAGGACTCCATTCACTAACTCCGGGTTTATAGACAGCACCATAAGCTATAGGCTGCACTCTTACTTACTGAGAGAGTGCTGCAACCATGGGAATAACCAGAGGACTCCATTCACTAACTCCAGGTTTAAAGACAGCACCATAAGCTGTAGGCTGCACTCTGACTTACTGAGAGAGTGCTGCAACCATGGGAATAACAAGAGGACTCCATTCACTAACTCCAGGTTTATAGACAGCACCAGTAGCTATAGGCTGCACTCTGACTTACTGAGAGAGTGCTGCAACCACGGGGATATCCAGAGGACTCCATTCACTAACTCCAGGTTTATAGACCGCACCATAAGCTATAGGTTGCACACTGACGTCTGAATGAGTCGCACCAGATTTAGATGAGATCGCCTTCTGGAGATTGAACTTTGACCTGGTGTTAGGCTTCTAAGAGCGCTGGTGTATTCTGGTATTTATCACGAACACACCCTTCTGTAGTCACGGTGCATTTTCAGTGCAGGGTAAATGGATCAGCCATCTTGATCAGGTGCTCTACTTATGTGAAGAGTTAATGAACCCATTGGCATACATGTTACAACGAACTTGTTGTACTTTGGACCAGGTTCACGTGTGGTAAACAAGTAACAATTAACTTGGTAGATAACAATGTTTCAGCCAAGTCGTTATAGGTCATAATTAATAGATTAGAAACTGATAATAGGTGAACAATTGATGTGTGACGGTTACCAATTCACACAAAAGTAACAGTTACTCTTTTCTGAACAGTCTTTAGGAAATTACCATTTAATAATTTAATATTTGTGACCACTAGGAGAAAAGGGACTTTATCGGTGCTAGGATACAATTGTGCTGTGACGTCATAAAGAAAGACGTTAGACGTCAATTTTTTCGTATAAATCGCCATATGTGCAGACTTACAAAACTATCTTATTTTTCTCATTAGTTCGTAATGTAATAAAAACATCATTTCGAAACATTTCAGCGTACAATCAATTATCAATTAATCTTAAAGCTGCAACCATTACATAGATACTGATAAGTCTGAAAATGGGACTTTGCTTAAAATGAATCCAAATGTTTGATGCCATGTATCTCTGTAATAAATATGAATTGAAGGTGATGAATTGTATTTTTGTGGTCCTAGGATACTGTAGTTTTAAAATATAATAAGACGTCAAAATGTGATTTTTCACCCATATTGTCCCTTATCTCATGGTGGGTCACATTTGGTGTTGCCAGTTGCATTGTTTGTTTGAGACAAAATATTTTGTTCTAGCAGGCTCGTTAAAACCCGCACTCTTTTTTCTGAAAGAAAGAGCCAAACAGTTGGGGGTGGGTGGGGTGGTTGTACTTACACCCAGATACAAGAATACTGGCACTCGTTTTTGTAAAATCAGTGTGCTACACATGCTGCTACAATAATCGCTATTTGTTTTCTTGCACTTCCCAATATTCCATCCTTTCTCAGAGCTACAGATAAGCTGCGTATTTGCATAAAATACCCCCTAAAACATCTAAAACCCAATTACTTTGAATTAACTTGCGTACAGAAACGTGTGCATTAAATGAAAAACTCAATTATGTGAAAACAGCTCGCGTAAATACCCAATGAAGCTTTTTCAACATGGGTACAACAGAGCTATTATCCGAAACCACAATTACCAACTCATTTACTTTCCAAGTTAAGCCTATATTTTAAGCCGTTATATATACATTAAAACATTATTTCATTTTTTTTTAAATCTCAAAATGTTGACTCATTTTGGGAAAAACCCAATAGAGTGATGAACAGATAGTGAAAAAAAATTGCAAGTAAAAACTCAATTGGTCAAAAAGTTATGTGAAGCTCTGTTTTCTTGTTGTTTCCAGGATATCCCTAGTCAGTCGTACTACGCTGTGTTTGACGGCCATGGAGGTGTGGAAGCAGCTACGTACACAGCCAGCCATCTTCACTGCAACTTCGTCCGCGATAAGGAATTCAACAACGACGTCACCACAGCCATCAAAAACTCCTACAAATTAACGGATGATTGCTTCTTGGAAAGAGCTAAAAGAGATGTGAGTAAAACCTCTGTGTTTTATGTTCATATAATTTTTTAATTTGAAGTTTACACGATATACGGCTTTTCCATTGGATGAGAGGTCGGTCACATGACCGCTAAACTGACGTTCATAAGTGTATGAATGACCCAATCTGAGGTTCATACATTTTTCACGAGATCGTGTTCTTGAAATGACGTAAACACTGATGGACTACTTCCACATTCCTGGGGAAACCCCTGGGGATTCCCTAGCACGAAAACATACATAAGCGTTCTTTCTGATCTTTTAGAACCTTTAATCTTGGTCTCAGCGTTTCAGTATGCATTGAGAAAAAGTCAGAGAGCTTGACTGCATGATTGTTCACGAATATCCACGCTATGGCCCATCCTAATGAACAAACGAAGAAATGCACATCCAAACTATCATAGTATCGACTCGATCCGTGTCTAGACTAACAGTGACTGTCTCCAGCAATCTATGAATTTACCTTAGTGTCTGTTTGATGCATCTTTAATCACCTTTCAATGATCGGCCAGTTGATCAATGATGACTAACACATGTAACCGCCACAGGTTCATTAACAACTTCGGAAATCTCTCCCGTCACGTTTATCGTGTAGACCATTTTGATGTCTTGTACTTGATGTAAATGTATTATGACGAGCTGTCATTATGACTTACTGAGGTAGTATTTTACAGACCTTTCTCATCTAATGGTAATATTATTTGAACACATGTGTTGTGTAAGATGTATCTGAAGAGCAAGTCATGCATCCATACGCTCATGTGACCTAACTTTTTGAGGAACTATTTTATTCCGTGATATGGCTGGTTGTTGTATGGCTGTCAGAGTAAACATGAAGTCACACGTACCAAATAAAATTGTGTTTTGATCTTGGCCTACATCCTTTGAGGTAAGAAATTGTGATAAAAAAATTAGAAGAATTGACTTTCACTTTGTGTGAGTTCATTGGAGTATGAACCTTCATAGAGTGAGGGCCAAACATTGTACAATCTCATTAAAATCAGATCTTAGTTCTCGCTACCACTAAACAAAGATCTGAGGACATCCCATTAGGGGTCACGTCAGAATGACCTTTCGTGAATTTTGACCGACCAGTGAAATGACTGACAAGAAATAGACATTAAGCTGTCATGCTGCGATATAACTGGAATACTGTTAAAAGCGGCGTTAAATCAAACTCACTCACTCACTCACTCGATAACACTCCATTATTTTATAAACCTTTGTATGTACTTTGGCCAAAACATGATGTTCACAGTGTAAGTGAATTGTTCTTATCTAAGGGAGACAACCCAAGTGACAATTCAGTTCCTGATTCATGTTATCGTCAGAGTTAGCATCGACCATCATATGGTGACATGAGTTGAATCAAGTGCAAAGAAAATTTGTGTAGTTTTGGCATTTCAATGCATGGGAACACTGTTGTCGTTAATGTAGCCCCTTTTAGAGTCTCCAGCAACCTGTGGTTGTTATACAGGGTATTAGGGGATTGGGTGGTCAGACTCTGGGACTTTGTTTATTGCGTGTCATCTAACCCCAACAGAAAGGACCGCCTCCGTTGTCTAGTGGTAGAGCGTCCGCCCGGAGGGCGGAAGGTCCGCGTATCAATCCCCGGCCGCGTCATACCAAAAGACGTTAAAAGATGGTTCTTGTTGTTACCCTGTCTGGCGCTCGGCATTAAGGGGCTAAAACAAGGACTGGTCAGCTTGGAGTCAGTATACTGTGTCTGAGTGGGATATTCATGTTAAACTGCGGCATGGTATCTCAGTGAGCTAGCCCTTTAAATCAGCATCAGTCCGGACTAGTACAAGCAGCCACACAAACACACACACGTACACGCACGGCGCTATATAAGTGCAATAATCTTGGACGCGACGATAAACCGCATTTCACCTCACCTCACCTCACCTCACCTCACCTTACCTCACCTCACCTCACCTCACCTCACCTCACCTCACCTCACCTCACCTCACCAACAGAAACGGTGGTTGTTGATAATGTCAATCACAGGTTTGTCTGTTCCAGACTCATCTGTTCCAGACACGTTTGTTATACAGCTGGAATATCTGAGTGTGGCATTAAGTGACAAGTTACAACCCCACACACAAATAACAGATGTTGGTGGTTTAGTTGAATCAGTTTGACTTTGTTTTCACAGAAGCTGCGCAGTGGCACGACGTGCGTGACGGCCCTGGTACAAGACTCACGCATCCACATATCATGGCTGGGCGACTCACAAGCAGTGTTGGTGCGCAATGGCGGCGCCGTCACCCTCATGAACCCTCACAAGCCCGAGAGGCCGGTTAGTATGTACTGGAGTGTCTGGTCCAGACTCAGTTATTAACAGGCTGGTCTTAGTTCTTAGTTCAACCCATGCTTGCCGTAAAAGGCGACTATGTGACTAACAGATGGCCAGGCTTGCTGACTTGGTTGATGCATGTCATCGTATCCCAATGCGTAGATCGATGTTTAGGAGGTCAATCACTGGATTTTCTGGTCCGGATTTGATTATTTACAGACCCACTTCATATTGCTGGAATATGGCTGAGTGCGGCGTTAAACAACAAACAAACACACAAACAATTATGAGAACTGCCTCATTAGGATTGCATTGTTACAATGTGACCTGATCAATATTGTGTTTTTAGAACCATCGTTGTGGATAGTTACTCTTGTTGTGGACAACCCTGCACCCCCCACTGAGAGAGGATTTATTATCGGACCCCTCCCTTTTTAAAATGCTGGATTTGCCCTTGAAGACATATTCCCATTTGCCACCTTAACTAAAGCTAAAAGATCTCCCATCCATAAGTGTAATTTGATGGACAGCTATTTTTTCCTTTGTGTTTTTTTAACTGGATGAATGAAGATTTATCATATTAGAACAGGCATGTAATTCACTGGACAATCGAGGAAGAATTTGCCTAGGATATTATGTAGACACACAATAAAACTGTCCACATTATAAAAAGCAGGGACCGCCTCTTTGGTCTAGTGGATAGTGCATCCGTCTGTGGAGTGAAAGGTTGTTGGTTCTATCTCCATTGCGTCATACCAAAAGATGTTAAAAGATGGTACTTGTTGTTATCCTGACTGGCGTTTGGCATGAGAGTGACTCTGGGGTTCAGTATTAAGGGCCTAAAACAAGGGCTGGTCGGTTCGGAGTCAGTATTCTGTGTCTGAGTGGGGTATTCATGTTAAACCGCTGCATGATATCTCAGCGGGCTAGCACTATAAAACTGGCATTGGTCCGTACTAGTAAAAGCCCTCCCCTCCCCTTCCAGCTTCAATGGGTACAATATGTGACGCCCATTCTTGTTGACACTCACTCACTCACTCGCTCGTCACGCCAAAGACCTGGGTTTGAATCCCGACATGGGCACAATGTGTGAAGCCCATATCTGTGTCCCCGATGTGATATTGCTGGAATATTGCTAAAAGCGGGGTAAAACCTCACTCACTCACTCACTCACTCACTCACTCACTCACTCACTCACTCACTCACTCACTCATGTTTTTGCTTTTTTCAGGATGAGAAAGAGAGAATTGAAAAACTTGGAGGCGTTGTGTTGCATTATGGGACGTGGCGGGTAAATGGCAACATTGCGGTGTCCAGGGCAATAGGTAATGAAAGTGCATATACACAGTGATTCCTAGGTTAAGTTCCTTTCATACATAATGACAACAGTAACATTGACATAGACTAAAGCTGGGTTTTAGTCCAGTGTGTCCAGTTAACGGTTTGTTTTGGTAAAATCAATTATTTGTTTCCAGTAGGTAACCTAGAAAAAGTTAACACGAGACATGTCAACATGAGATACAAATTTAAAATGGAAAAGACTCTTCATAGCCTGTTTGAAGAACTGCCATACAAGGGGGCCCAGTCGTCTAAGGCGTCGCGATTCGCTGTGCAGAATTGCGTCCCTTGGGCACGCCAGAAGCCTATGATTGTGGGTTCAAATCCAAGTTCGCCCCGATTATGTTTCTAGGTTTGTCAGCACCATACCTGTGCTCGTTGGTTTCAAGGAAGTGGTAAACGTCTGAGACCTGCATCACTTCTGGCTTTCCTCCCACATTAAGCTGACACGCTGCGATATGACTGTAATACTGTTAAAAGCGGCGTTAAATCCAACTCACTCACTCACTCACTACTGCCATACAATCTTGGTCAGACAGTAGACATTCAAGAATTTTCGTTTGATCAGTTTTCAAGCTTTGTCAAATTATTTTTCATGCATAGCCTAGAATGGAAGTCACCAGTTTGAAACTTGATGCTTTCTAACTCAATAATTGCCTTGATTGTAATCTTTGTTGCTTCCATAAAAATGGAAAGACTCAATGACCTGTATCAGGGCAATTGGGTAGCCTGGTGGTAAAGTGTTTGCCTTTCATGACGAAGTTCCGGGTTTGATTCCCCACAATGTGTGAAGCTCATTTCAGGTGTCCCACACTGTCATGTTGCTGGAATATTACTGAAAGTGGCTTAAAACCAAACTCAATGACCTGTATCACTTTATACATTAACCTATGCCATGATCTGTTTGAAATATTGGTGTTAACTCAACCCTTTCACGAAAAGCGTTCACTTGTCACGCCGAAGGTCTGTGTTTGATTCGCCACATTGGTACAATGGATGAAGCCAATTTCTGGTGTTCCCTGTCGTGATATTGCTGGAACATTGCTAAAAAACTTCATAAAATTTCCTCATTCATTCACTCGCTCACTTTCTCACTTTACTTGTTTGTTTCTAGGTGACGTTAGTCAGAAACCATACATCAGTAGCGATGCCGAAGTCTACAGTTTTGACCTCGACGGAAAAGAAGACTACCTGGTGTTAGCATGTGATGGAGCGTGGGACGTTCTGACGTTTGAGGACTTACCAGAGATAGTGTACAATCATATTCAGGAAAACCATGGCGATCGCAGCACAGTTGCACACAGACTTGTAAACTACGCCAGAGATAATGGGTCCAATGACAATATTTCCGTTATCGTTGTATTTCTTCGAGATCAGATCTCCGCTCCCAAAACAACCAACGCAAGTATTGATCGTGTGAGAGCAAATGGTTCCGAAGGGAAGAAGAGGCATGGAAGTGGATCCGATAAATCCTCTCGCCACAGCAATGGAAAAGGAAACTTAGAACCCAGTTTGCGAAATTTGAACAAACAAAGCAAGGAACGTATGTCCAAAGATAACGAAAGTCGTTTAACTCAGGAATTTCATAATCATGATGGTCATGTGAAATCACATTTGAAACAAAACATTTCCACATCAGACAAGGGGAAGCAAGGAAGCAAGTCTAGTCAGGACTGGTTTTGGAAATCCGTGCATTCATTCTTGACTTTCACAAAGTTGTCAAATTGGGCGGCGTCTTCAAAATCAGAAAACAAGAAAAGCGTGGCACACGATGGTAGCACTGAAAAAGAAACAGCTTTAAGAAGTTGTTGAAGTGTCTGTTCTAATCCCATATTTATTTATCCAGAGTTCTAGGACAAGTACATAATTCTGCTTATTGATATTTCAAAGCAAAACAAGCCTCAATATGAAATGGGTTGGGGAACTGTGTTTCTATTGACCAATGAAGTCCTAGACTTTTCTGGGACCCTATCTACCTCAAGGGAACCAAGAGAAAAACAAGGCAGCAAAATGAAAGTATCCGCGAACAAAGGGAGATGACTCCACATTAAGGGGAGATAACTAACAATTCTCGATCAAAGGGAAGCAACTCTAGAGAGCTAGCCTAGTTAATCAAGAAGGCATTTTACTTGATGTTTTCAGAGATGTTTGCTGAAGGGCATTTTAGTACTAAGATAGTTAGAAAGCTGTGTGTAAGCTACCCCATAAGAAAGAAGTTATTTCTTGGTTGTTTAAATTAACTTTTATTTATCCAATTGATAATGTTAATTGAATGAGTTCTCATTCTTTTGTTATCTTCAACCGATATTTTGCATCAAATCTTTTTATTCTTTTCTGTTTGCATATTATTTTTGTCAAAAATATCTTTTGACTTATGCAGGGTAGCCACACGTACAACTGGCGTAGATGTAGTTTGTAGATGGTGTGTCGCCTCTGTTAGAGAAACGATAGTTCTAGGGGCAAGTTGTGGTGTGAAATATTCAGTGGAAAACTTCACAGTTTTTGTGATTAGGTAAGATGTACTTGTGTTTTATGTAACTCATGAGTGATTATTTTCAAACGTTAGAGGATTTTTATTTTCTTTGAAATTGAAAATTTGGTTTTCGTACAGAATAATGTTTATTTGTTAATCAACATATCATGATTGGAAATGTTTTTGTTGTCATTTTGTGTAATTTCATGTTTTTGTTTTTGTTTGTAAGAATAATATCCAAATGAAAGTGTTATAAGTAGAAATGTTTCTTTGATAAAAGATGAAAAATGATGCTGAAAAGTATTTCACCAAACAATGTTTCGACATTAATAGATGTGTATCACTTGCTCTCAACTTCAGAAGGCCTGGGTATGATTCTGTTTTATTCTGAACCACAAGAGTTGTGTCCCTTAGCCATACCAGAATCCTATGACCATGGGTTCAAATTTCTCATTTTGAAATTTCTCAAACAATAATTTGTGAAATAGATTTTATTCATTTTGGTTTGGTCATTATCCTAAGGAAGCTGTTAATTTATAAATACAAGGAACAAATTACCCATTATAAAGAATGTTTATTTGAGTAATGAGAAACATAATAGTACTGTTGTCTGAATCCTGAATGTATTGTCATGGTAACTGTACTGTTGTCATAGTGAACTGCATCTTTTCAGATGAAGGTATAGATGGCTTGTATGTGGACATGTTTGACGAGAGATTTTTGCAGTTTTGTCCACATATTTAATGACATGTTTAATTGTTTTTCACAAAAATCCTTAACCTTTTTCTGATGTCTGTGAGTTTGTCAAGCAAGTCTGTCACTACATGTTATTCATGAAAATACATAATCAGAGGTGCAGGAATTTTAATTTGGAAAGTATGACTATTAGACAGGATTATGTCCCCTGTGTGTTGCCAGTGTCACAATAACTGATATTTTGTGTATGTGTTGAGCTCAGGGAAGTTGCTAGGAAGTCCGAGCTATGTAGAGAGGAATGATAGGGAAGCTACAGAACATGCGCCTACTAGTCCCTCTGTACCTCCAGATATCTCTTGTAACTCCTTCTGTATACAATGGTACTACCGTATTCGACGTAATAAGCTCCCAGGGCGCTCTCAAAATTAGAAATAGGGGGCTCTTATTAGAATATTATTTTGGTGAATAAAAAACAGTTGAAAGATAAATTTCGTGGCCTGAAATGTTTATGTACGACCGATATATTTTTTCAAAATTAAATGCCCATAACTAAGGGTGCATATAACACACAAGTGCGTATTATACGCGAATAAATAAGTCTTGGTACATTGATCAATCGGAAGGGGTGCTTATTGGGATTGTTCACTAGCCAATATCTATGTAATGTCGCCGTGGGCGCTTATTACGTCGAATATCGTATATAAGATCGACCGTCAAAAAGAACGGTCCTCACACTTTGGTAAAGCCATCATGGACCATCCTCGTGTTCCAGGGGGCGTTTATCAGATGGACGTCCAGGGTGATGTTGAACAAAGGGATCTTAACACTAAGGTGATTGTAACACCTTTAACAAAAGCTTATGATTATCGTACTGCTAAGATCGTTTAGTACAACGGAACTGGATACTGGGTTTGTGTCTTTAGGATGTTTCAAACAATACCAAAGCTTGGGAAGGATTGTCCATGTTCAATGTTTTCTATGGGAGAGTTGCTGGCAGGGGTGGCCCATTTCCAAGGATAGTAATCAGGACAGATATAGTACCCTAGCATGTAGAGGATGGTTCAAAGTGTGATATATATATATATATATCCAGTTATGAAGCTAATACAGATTCTATCAAATTTTATTATCATTCATTTATCCTTTCTGTAAATTACAGTTACAAAATTTGGAAATTTTGATGTGTATAGTATATTGCAGAAAATAATTATTTTCCTGAAGATTAGAATAAATATCACAATTATATAATGTTAGCAAATTTGAATATTGGTATATATATATATATTTACTGATGAGTGTTTGTAATCAGTGTACTAAGTGTATGCATTTGAAGGGTTCTTGGTAAATATTTATAAGCCCTTGTAGTACTGTTATGTTAAAGCCGTGGCCCATCAACTCACAGGACATATGTGTCAGTGTTCTTACATTTCTTACAGAGCTGACTCTCACAAAACAGACATTAAACTTTCAACTCGGCAACTCGTAACCTTGATACTGTGGAAACCTTGGCAATCAGGAAATTGGTTATCTTGAAGTCTTGTTTATCTGGAAACATTGATTATATTAAAGCCCTTGCTTAAACTGAAACCTTGTTTATCTAGAAACCTTGGCAATCTGGAAAGTTAGTTTACTTGAAGCCTTGTTTAAACTGAAATCTTGCTTATCCAGAAACTTTTGCAATCTGAAGACTTTGTCTGTGTAGAGAACTTGATCTTCTGGATATTTCAGATCCTAGTGCTACGTGCCTTTTCACTTAGAAAAGCCATATTTATGGATGGTTTCCATAGGAACAAGACCATTCAAGTCAAACACTGCTAGAATTACTGTATACGAAATGACAAATAAATTGATACGCTTTTAACATTTGACTGAAATAAAGCTCAAATTTATTTGGAGTTAACATGAGTTGTCAGTAGTAATAATTGGTGAAGTTTCATGTAATTGAAGAAAATTTTGAACAATTAAACCTTGTAACTATCGATGAGCCTGCTGTGTCGGAGGATGTAGAACAGTGGCCGAATGTATGGCCCTGTTTGATGGAGTTGAAATGGGTCGCACAGCTCTAGTTGTGTTTACGTTGCTTGTTATAGTTTAGTTTTGTGTGTTGTTGATCTCATTATATGGCATTTATCTTTGTTGTTATGATTTATAATACTCCATATCTCCAGCTAAGAAGCTGTGCGAAACGTTGCCATGGCCACAGTCACAGTCCTGGCTTGCCCTGTACAGAGAAAAGTGTCTTCCTCGCTCAATGACCTTGAGTTTACTTCTTAATGGCAGCTGTAGTGGGACACAATGTTACTGGAAAACAGTTTGATTTTTGTGATGGGCGACCCAGTGATCTACTTTACTGCAATTCACTAAGGAGTTATGTCCCTTGGTAATGCCAGGATCTGCTGGTTATGGGTTTAAATCCACAGTTCCTTTTATGATCCTTGGTGTGTCAGCACCGTACCATGGTTTGATCAAAGCAGTGAAGTTGACCTATATATTCAGCATCAATATGGACTCTGTGACTAAAATCGGATCATTTTGTCCGATATGCTCCCTCTCTGCATCAAGATCTCAGTACACCTCCATAGGACGTCAGGTGAACTTTCTAGACAGCCAAAAAGCAACGAGGCCTCTAAATTCTCGGTACAAGTAAGCGGGCATTTAGACCAAGATACCTGATTTCTGTATCCCGAAAACGAACTTAAGCGTCCTTCCTTGGATGCACATAGTGAATACCCTGCCAGTACATTGTTGAAGATAATTTGATAACTTTGTCGTTTCTGAGCCCCACGGCATCTCTACCCCCAGAGAGTACCGTCGAAGGTATGTTTAGGCTCTGCATGGGTTTTCTTTTGTTGTAATCATAATTATTATTTCTGCATAGGGGTGGTAAAAAACGAAACCAAATCGTTTTGGAAATCTAGCATCTGACGAATCCACACATCCTTCCGTTAGATTGGGCTGTTGAGGTCACTCAGGGTTCTCGTGACTTAACCTACAGTGAAGGTGTTCGCACATCTTCAGTTAGTTTTGGCAGTTGAGGTCACTCAGGGTTCTCGTGACTTAACCTACAGTGAAGGTGTCCGCACATCTTCATGCAGAGAGGCATCGTATTCGAGTAAAAGATATGATTTTTATAATTGTTATATGACTGAAATAGACACTGTTTCAGTCTTGTTAATTCTTATACAACCAAATGAAAAACCAAAAAGGGCACAACAGGTCATTGAGCTAGTTAGAATACTTTACAAACATTTATGCAGTTGATGGTTAAATATGTTTCCGAAACAACTCTCAAGAAATGGGCGTCTTTAAAAGGGGTTTGTCCGATTCCAGTGAGTGTCTGACTGGACGTTGTGACTGTGGCATGTTTTCTTCTCAATGGTGCTAGATATGTTTACTTTAGTCCCTGAACTTGTTGTGATGTATATTTCTAGAGATACGTGTAGATGTACGAGAGCCTCCATCTTGGTGTCCGAGTGTTCTGGTGTTCTGCAAGGCTCCGTGCTTCTGTTCGGCTGGCAGTGATCCACTTTGAAGTATGCTGATGTCAACTGCTTTTTTCAATTACCAGGTTTACAGATTTTCCCAACCCAAAATGTCACAAATTTCGAATTTTGTTTTTAAAAAATACAGAATAGTTTTATTTCCTGTAAACATTTCGAAAAACAAGATACAAACAAAATTCAATGGTTTTATTTCCTGTTTCCTTTTTTTTTTATTATTATATTTTTTTCAATACTATGGGATGGGAAATAAAGATTTGACTTGTTATTTATGACCCGAGGAGCAGCAATGTTCAGTATTTTTAATTTTTTTTATCACTATCCTAACTTTCATCCATAATCATCACTTCATTAAAATATATTTAATTTGTATTTTCTTTAAACAAAGATCACCTGGTTTGTGAAAAAAGCCATCTGTAAACCGAGTCGTTGAAAAGAGCCTCACTTTGTTTTTTGTGTGAGATAATGGTCACTGTTCATTCCAGATTTTTGATACCCACAGATATTTTTGATTGTACGTTTGTAAGTTGAAGCTAGAACTATGTTGCTAATGAACGGACATTGCTGATATGACAATGAGTCTTGATAAGTCCAAAGTGGTTCAGTTTTGCCCAGAAATTTAGAAAATACCGTATTTGGTCTGATTAATATTTAGTGGTCAAGAAAGGTTTGTGTTTGCAGCCTAAAATTTAGGGGAGATAATATGAAACTGTCTTTGAAGAAACTGGTGAAAAGTTTCAACATTTGTGAATGTGAACAAGGTAAGTGTGTTATTTGAGTACAGTTGGGTACACACTTGCCTTGGGAGGAACTGTTTGTTTGGTGTGAGAAAATCAGGCAATTTTAGGTTTTGTCAAAACAAAAATGGAAAAGTGAACTATTTTTTTACTTAGATGTAAATGAAAAAGTTCAAATAATATTGTGGGGAAATGGAAAGTTTAGGTAATATTCAGGGAAAATAGATAGAAATAAGTAGGGAAGAATTAAAAAGTTGAACTACAATATATCACCAATGCTACTAGTACTACATCAGAACTGATCAGATTCAGATGAATGTCATCTTGTTATAGAACGTTGCAGGCTATGTTAGCTGACAATCTCATCACCAATACTGTTCTTGAATTCATCATAAGGGGTTTGCTGTGAAAAATTAGACAGGCAGATTCATTGTTTTTGAAACTATTAATGTTTTGATGAATTATTTTTCCTTTGGATCACTTGAACTTCCATAGTATAATTTCCTCGTGAAAGTTTAACACATCCGTTTCTGGTTATGCTGTATTATTCTGTTAATGCTAGCTGCTGTAACCGTATCTCTGTGCTTCTCCCTGTAAACGATTTTGATTTTGACTTGTCGCTACATAGAGCTACAGTCTGTCTCATAGTGTTTTCCTAATTCACGCAAATCCCCAATCTAAATCTGCGTCACACTAAATATGTTTCAGCAAAGGGAATGTGTCGTGATGTAATAACAAAGGCAACATGATTCTCTTCCGAAGACACTTGCCTTCAATACGAGTACTTACATTTTAGATTGTGTAGCAATATATTTATTTATCGAATTGGAAACCGAACTGGTAAAGATTTTTGTCCGCCCTTGTGCCCAGCGATGGTGGCCCATACTCTGTACCCTCTCAGTCATTCAACCTGATAAGTACACAGAAAGTTGTACGATTCATGGACAGTGTGGCAGGGTTGTTAGTGTGGTATCTTCCGAGTGAGTGAGTGAGTTGGGTTTTATGCCGCTTTTAACAGTATTCCAGTTATATCACGGCGTGTCAGCTTAATGTGGGAGAAAAGCCCAAAGTGATGCAGGTCTCAGACGTTTACCACTTCGGTGAAACCCACGAGCACGGGTATGGTGCTGACAAACCTAGAAACATAATCGGGGCGAACCGGGATTTGAACCCACAATCATAGGTTTCTGGTTTGCCTAAGGGACACAACTCTGCACAGCGAATCGCGGGGCCTTAAACGACTGGGCCCCCTGTGCCCCCGAATC